TTGTTGGATGATAATGATGGCACCACGCTGCGAGTGCTTGGAAATTTCGGCCAGGTAGACAGGAACCTGAGACGAAGTGATACCGACAGTGACTCCATTCAATACACGACCGGCGATAAGCATGCCGCGACCATTTGTAGCAACCTGCAGCGCAGTTCCGACTAGCCACCAAAGACAGGCGAACATAAGGGCATCGCGACGACCAAACTTGTCGGAGATAGGACCAGCAATAGCACTGCCAACCACTGAGCCCGCAGCAAGGGCCGCGCCAATAGCTCCCTGAACGACACCGGTTGGGTTGTCGAAGTAGGTGCTGTTCGTTGTTAGGGATCGATAAGTGAGGTGTTTGACGTCACTGCGACTTACAGATACTGGTCACTCGGAATGATGGCACTCATCGAAGATATATCAAACCCGAAGAGCATGCCACCCATCGTGGCAACAATTGCCAAGAAGTAGACATTGTAAATCTTAGGAAATCTTTCAAACATCTTGACCAGGACCTGTCCAGAGCCTTGGGTTGATGCAGAGATGGCAGTCGTTCGACCTGTCGATCCACAGACGTGGGGAGGGTCGAATATAAAGGTCGAGAAAGTCGGCACTACACGCCGCTGTGCTCGACGTGACAATCATGTCGCTTGAGGCAGTCGTCTCCACTCGAGTGCTTGCTCCGCATGGAGACTCCATACTCGTTGGTCATAGCCCTGGACAGCCAGGTAAAATGGTTAAAATGGATTTACCAACCCAAGTATAGCGGCCGCATGCCGAGAAGCCTGCCGTCTTGACCATCGGAGAGAAACGAGATCGAGTCAGTGTCGGAGCTTATGTGATTTGTGGAAAAACGATTCTGGGGTTAGGCTGGAGGTGGAGAAAGACGCGCTCAGGCCCGGAGAGTTGTGGAGATCGCCTCACCCGCGTTGTGCATGTGTGGATGTCGTCAGTGGCATCTTAACCGAACCGGCGGCTCTTTTTGCACACTGCCGGGATCCGACTAAGGTGGTTGCTTCGATGCGACGATGTTGCATGTGACTGGAGATGTTTCCTGAGGAGGTGGTGCTTCCGACTGTTGTTGTGGGTGATTGGGCAGGAATGCGCTTGAGGGGTGGTGAGAACGTACGACGAAGCGCGATCGTTGCTCTGCTTGGCAACGCTAGCTCTACCGACTTTTACCTTACCATCGCGATGCTATCAATGGCGACGCATCGCAGTCGCATCGCCTTGAAATGGCTGCAATGATTTGCGATCAAGGAGATGTTCAGTGGGAAGCAATTCTGGTGAGGACACTCGTTCGTCGCATGCCTAGGCGCATCTGATATCGGCGCACGTCCGAGATGGCTTCTAATGATCGGAGTCGTGACGAACATCGGACTTGCTCATCGATGATCGGGCTTTCTTCCTTCAGATGTTCGCGTTTGGGCTAACCTATTGCGTCGCCCTGCGCGTCGACCAGGATTCTCACGACATGGGAATGTTGAAGCGGGACGACTCAGAAAGTCAGGCCATTCGCCATAATACGCGTACAAATCTTGCTTCGATCACAGCGCCGTGATTGCAGGTCTGGCTTATAAGCTCACACACCTAGCCAATCTACAGTGTGCGCGTTAATCAATAAAGGTTTCGAGTGCGTATGGACAACAAATTCAGCACTGCGAGCATCGTAGCCGTGATAAAAACTGCAGCAATCGCGAGTCGGTGAGATGATCCGAGAAAATGGTCGCTATAATGTTTGGCCTTCTTGCTGCATACAACACCTATGTGTGTGATGTAAGATATACTTCCCGAAAGTGCGGCGCATACATGAGAAGACGTGCGAGCCGTGCGAAGGCGTAATGCTGGAGATGGACTGCGTCATCGATTTTTAGATTTCGACTATGTACTGCGCAGACGCGCTGTCGCTCACAAGAGCCTATTGCAATCAAACTCCAGATCTTGTCGCCGTTTCGAGTAGAGACTGGCTGTGCCCAAGTGCTCCGTACGAACAAAGAATCCCGAATATTACGAACAGCGTATCGGAAGGACATATTCGCGCTGAGTCTGGCTCCCTACCCTCCAACTTCACCAGATCACTCACTAATACCATCATACCAATAATGCTTCACGCCCGTATCGCTACGCGGTTGCGCAGGAGTCTCGAATACCTCTGCTAAGTTTTGGTGTTCGAGCAGCTATCTGCCGCCCCTGGCCCGCCCAAGCCAGCGGCTAAGTTCGGCCACGTCAACCATCAGTGCCATCAATTCCAAACTGCCACCAGTCAGAACCCCACAAAATTTGGTGGGAAGCACAAGGCCCATACTACAAACGACCTGGCGTTGCATTTGGAGTTCCAGAACATGCCCATTTTTCGAAATATCTATTTTTGATGGTTTCCTATATATATGCTCCTTTTTGCTCCCTTTTCATCAACAAGAACAACAGCTTCACAGCAGTTGCCTTCTGGTCTTATGGGTAAGTCGTTACACGACCTGATCACCATGAGCACCATCTAACAAATACCAGTCTAGTGGTATGATTCTCGGTAAGTTCTGGCTGTTCGAATCACATGTGTGACACATTCTAACTTCAACAGCTTAGGGAAAGCATCTTCGGATACTTGCAAACCCAAGCATAGCTTGCGAGAGGCCCCGCGTTCGAGTCGCGGTAAGACCCATTTTTTGCACTTGTAGCAGTCACAGTACGCCCTGCCAACACCGTATAAGTTCAAAAGGCTTAGGGAAATATCGCTCAGCCTTTTAGAAAGACGCAGCTAGGTGTATGTGCAAGAAATGTCTTTTTTTGCGTACCTAGCCATGTACTTAGGTTTACCGCACAAGGACCTCTTCTGCAAGACCTAGAGTCCGCCTAAGACACTTTCACAATCACGTCTTGAAATCTCTAAAATTGTTCCTCTGCGCGTTTTTAAAGTTGTAAGAAGAAGGATTATCTTTCTAATTGCCCTGCAAGTGTGCCGTGCCTAGAGGATTCTGTAGTCCAACCTCACAATCAGGCATTTCGCAATTCAACTCTCAATCCTCACTCTTAAAGAACTCCTACTGTGTATTCTCACTGTGTTTGTTTGCTTTTCCACGCGTCTTCGTATAGTTTCTTCGTAGCGTGCAAAGTGGAACCGCGATCAAGGGTCAAAGCGCGAACCCTCCTGCTGCAAGTAGAAAACCACAAAACTTTGGAAACAACAACATCACCTCGTGCCCCAAAACATCAAAAACAACACCAACTCTCCGGCTCACAGCCTTTGCAATTGAAGATGCAGTGGCGATGGGATTACCCAAGCCCCAATGAATACATCGTCGGGGCGTGGGAGCCAAAAACGTCGAATCACAAGTGAGTTGCATGCATTATGGATTGGATGTGGCTGACTTGAAGTAGTTTCTGTGAGGAGGTATGCAATATAGAAAAAGTCGAATGGCTTCAATTGAGATTGATTGTCTTGTAGGACTACATAATAACACCCTACATCGGCGAATTCATAAACACCCTCACGAACATAACCTACGGTCCGCCCATCCCCATCCCCCATCTCCATCCCCCATCTCCATCCCCCCTCTTCCCCAAACTCACTCTCCCCCCAGTAATCTACGGCCTCCACGGCCTCCGCCGCGTCGCCCCAAAGCCCTCGGGCGGCCTCATCTCCACCCTCGCCTTCCCCTACTGGGGCCTAATTTCCGTCGGCCTCCTCTCTGCGTGGTTCCACGCAACGCTAAAATACCATTCGCAAATGGGCGACGACCTATCCATGTTCCTTGCTGTCGGCGCCATCTTGCACCAACTGCTTTGTTTCAAAGCTACGGTGAATGAGAGGCGGAAGTACACGGCGTATATCCTAGGAAGCCTGATTCCAGTATCCGTGTACCACGTCTGGGCCGACGAAATCATTCTGCATGAGATTGCGTTTGCGGTCATGATCTTTCTGGTGAGTAAATACACGCGCGCGCTTATTAAAGTGCAAATCACATCCGAAGAAGCGCGTAAAAAACTCGGGAGGATGGCTACCTTTGGTATTTCCACTGGCCTCTTCGGATACTTCTTGTGGAATATTGATTTCCATGCTTGTTACTACGTCACAGTGTTCAAGAGATGGATTGGACTGCCCTGGGGTTTTCTGTTCGAATTGCATGGGTGGTGGCATATCTTCACGGCGATTGGCGCGTATGTGGGTATGGCGCTTGTGGAGTATCTTGTTACGATTGAGGAGGGGGAGACGGGGAGGGTGGAGGAGGGGTTTGTGTGGCCGGTTAGGGAGGTATTGAGGGATTTGGATGGGGTTGAGAGGAGGGGGGTGGAGGGGAAGAAGATGAAGTGAGAGGAGGATGGGAGTGGAATGTGTGCTGAGGGATGGTGGGATGGGTTGGTTGGCTTTGTACTGTACGTCGTGTAATCCTATCGCGTTCTAGAGGTGGATGCGTGATGCGAGGAAGCTGGCTTTTTCTTGGGGGTGTACCTGAAAAGCATTCGAAATTCATTCCAAGAGTATACGCAGTATTATACCTGGCAACTGTCTTTTGAAGGCTACTATAAATGCCTTTTCCGAATTCTTCGTGTGGCCACCCTGGGTTTCCATATAGCCATTACCGCTACCTCGCAGTTCATCCACCTTTTGTCTCGATGCCATCTCACTATCCCAGCTTACCAACCCAGTCTCCTATGCATCCTCAAATCCCCCCAAAGTAACATACACCGCGCGAACATTCCGCTGGAGCTATCATGGTAAAGTCCATCTTCTTCCGCCACATCGGCGCTTGATTGGCCGGCCGGAGTTAAGATGTCAATGGACCCGGCAGATGCAGGTAGCATGTGGAGCCCGCGTCATCAACATCCAGTTACATAAAAATGACTTCGGGCCCGAGAAGACCGCCGGCTCGATATAAGAAGTGGGTGGAAGCACGGTGAATAGGACATCACACGATATCAACAGCGACACAATCCATTGAGGTACTAGAGTGATAAATTTGCCGGATTTCTATCTACCCCACCACCAGTCTCAAAACTTCAAAGAAGCACCGAAGATGCCTGAACTTGTCGGAAAGACTGTAGGTCCTGTTGGCTACGGCCTCATGGGTATGCATCATTACCTACTTCGCAATCGCTTCGCTAATACATCACAGGCCTGACATGGCGGAAGAACCCACCACCAGCCGAACAGAGCTACGAAGCCATGCGCACAGCACTCTCACTCGGCGCGAACAACTGGAACGGCGGCGAGCTCTACGGATCGCCGGAGCGCAACTCTCTACACCTGCTCAACGAGTATTTCACCAAGTACCCTGGCGACGCAGAGAAGGTCGTTTTGTCTATCAAGGGTGGTCTCAAGAAGGGTGAGATGGCGCCCGATGGCAGTCGGGAGAACGTCAGGCGTAGCATCGACGAGTGCTTGAAGGTGCTGGATGGTAAGAAGAGCCTCGATCTGTTCGAGTGCGCCAGAGTCGACCCCAAGACACCCATCGCAGACACTGTCGGCTACATCGCAGAGTATGTCAAGGAAGGCAAGCTCGGCGGCATCAGCTTGTCAGAGGTTGGCGCGCAGTCCATCCGCAAGGCGCATGCCGTGCACCCCATCTCGGCCGTGGAGGTCGAGTTCTCGCTCTGGGCGACTGACATTCTGGAGAATGGTGTCGCGGCGACATGCGCAGAGCTCGGTATCCCTATCGTCGCGTACTCTCCTCTTGGACGCGGGTTCCTGGTAAGCGCGACTCTTCTCAATCAACGACCTACAGCTAATGCATTGCAGACTGGCAAGTACAAGAAGTACAGCGACATCGAGCCCGACTCCATGCTTCAGCATATGCCCAGGTTCCAGCCTGACGTATTTGACGAGAACATCAAGCTACTCCACGCTGTCGAGGACATGGCGAAGGCCAAAGGAGCCACACCAGCTCAGATTGCCATCGGCTGGGTTCTCGCGCAGAGCGGTGCCAAGGGTATGCCTACTATCATCCCAATTCCTGGTGCCACGACATCGGAGAGGATCGAGGAGAATATGAAGCCGGCGAAGCTCAACGACGAGGACATGAAGGCGCTGGACGAGATGCTGAAGAAGTTCCCGCCGATTGGAGGAAGGTACCACGAATCGCAGTCGGCATTGCTGTTCGCATAGACAATTAAGGACCTAGTCTGAAGCTTGTTAGCACTGTAGCTGTAATATAGCAAGCTTAAGATTGTGTATAGAATAGCAGATCAGAAAGAATTGTAGTGTAGAGCTAATCCGCATTTGAGCCGCCGTGAAGCGACTCTTTGGAATTGCAGAACTCTGGAATAGATCATCATAGAGATGAGATGAAGGAGACGGTAGAGGAACTTACCTATAGCCATTTGCGTGGTGTTGGAGGGAGGTAGAGCAAATTCATATCGCACCCAGCCTCGTTACCGTGGTAAAGAATGGAGACGTCCAAATGGACATTCGCCCGACGAATGAGCGCCGTCGCATAGTCAACCGCCCAAAGTACAGCTTGGTGTAATTACAATCGAGTGATCACAAGACGAGGAGAAAGGAAGAGGAAGTAAGTAAGCTGCCCAAAAATATCGAGCTAAACGGGTGGTCCCTGCACCTCGGGCTAGACGTCGAACGCGCCGTACAGCCATCGTCACGCTCTCCAAACGCGCCCACCGCTACATTCACATCCACATCAATCGCCGCCATGGAATCGCCTTCAGAACTCTCCGAGTACGGCAGCGACGATTTTCCCGAGGACATCAAAGGAGGCCGCCATGCCAGCTACGAAGCCACTCCTGACCACGACCAGCGCCCCAACAAGCGACCACGCCTGAATATCCGCGCGCCATCTTCACCGCCCCATATCAATACCATGCCGCCCGAGGAAGAGGACGAGCTGTCTGAAGATACCGATGGCTCGGTCCCTGCATCGCCACACCACCACCCGGGCATGTCGCAAGACGACGACTATGGCCAGGAACAGGTCACTGTCTGCAAATGGGATGGCTGCACGGCGGGTGACCTGCAGAATATGGATAACCTCGTCGAACATCTTCACGAAGACCATATCGGTACACGGCAGAAGAAGTATAGTTGCGAGTGGAGCGACTGCACAAGAAAAGGCATACCCCATGCTAGTGGCTATGCGCTGAGGGCACATATGCGTTCTCATACGAGGGAGAAACCATTCTACTGCACCCTCCCAGGTACGTCGCCAAACTCATCTCTATCGCATTGCGCTTACTAAGTCCCCTAGAATGCGACCGCTCCTTCACCCGCTCCGACGCGTTAGCCAAGCACATGAGGACCGTCCACGAGACTGAAGCACTGCGCCCCTCGGACCCCGTCCCCAAGCACCACTCCTCCAACCCCACAAACAACAAGCAGCGCCTCAAGCTCGTCCTCAACAACGAAGCCAAGAAGCTGCCCCACGACAAAGGCTCAACACCCGGGTCACCCTCCTCACACTCGCATCCCCCGAACAGCGCGACCGTTCCGTCCAACGCACCCGCACCCGCACCCGACGCCGACTACGCCCACAACAACGTCATCTACCTGCAAGACCTCGCCAACCCCTCCGCCCCACCGCTCGTCCAGTTTCCCCCCGACATCGAATTCACACCCGAAGAGCTCCAGCGACCCGCCCCCGAACTCTTCCAACTCCTGCGCCGCCAACTCCTGTGGGCAACGCAAGAAGGCGAACAACTACGCGCCGAAGCTGAGGAGCTCGAACACACCCGCCAGGAAGAATGGCAAGCCAAAGAACTCCTCTTCGAGAACTACATGGAAGCCCAAGCCGCAACCGAGCGACGGCGCCGCGTCGATCAAGGCATGCCCGACGACATGGAAGGCTGGCAATCCGTTGAAAACGACATCCAGCCCGCGAAAGCCCTGCCCATCTTACCCCGAGAAGGGAAACTGCCGTGGTGGCGCGACGACACTCAGCAACAACCGCGGATTAAGGAGGAAGCGGTTCAGCCTAGGCCGCCTCCCGCGCATATCCAACCTATCGAAGAGACCCAGCCTCAGGTATCTGTTCCGTAGCCTGGACTGGAATATCTGAATCCCGCGGAGAGGGATATGGCTCTGCAGTTGCAGCAGCGTATACATCATCGTAGGTTGGATGCGCTGCGCCTGCATCAAGTTCCTATGCCGCAGGCTTCGCTGGAATATCTAGGTTTGGCGGATCGTGCTGCGTGGTTGGATGCGGAGTGCGTTCATTGGCGTGACCGCTGTCTTGCGGTGGAGGAGCAGTTGAATTACAGGGGCCCGCCCCGGAGGCGTTATGCTCATGGGTGAGTGGCAGTGTTGGTATGATAGAGCGCAGCTGCGACGAAACGGTGGATAACTGAGTAGCTCTGGTGTTGAGGGAGATGTCGGCGCCATGCCCTCTTGTTTTTCGATAGTACTTGTGTATTACTATGGGATAGAAACCTGGGTGTTCACGGGTCTTTGGGTACATTCAAGGTTTAAAGATACCAATTCATTCAATGCTTCCATAGTATACAGCGTCCATCCCAATAACCCGTTTCTGACAATTTCCCAATGCCAGTTTTCCATGCCTTGCTCCTGCATAACTCCCATTATATGCCTGTTCGCCGTTGCAGACATGCCTTCCATGCCCCCTCCGCCCACCCGCAGCATGCCTTATGGCCCCTCGAAGCCGGCAAAGGCTCCATCGATAGATAGTAAGCATCTACCTACCCTTCTTCTTCTCCGCCTCAGCGTTCTTGAACGGGAAACCAGACGTCCTCTTATCCGCCCCAGTCTTCCTGCTGATCCGTCCATTGCTGCTCGCAAACAAGATGCACCACAGTGCCACTATGGCCAGGAAACCGGAACCTAGTGTGCCCAAGCTGAAGGCCATGACGCCGGTGCGCGTCCACATGGCGTAGCCGTAGAAGGCGAGGGCGGAGTGGAACATGGCAGTTACGGTGAGTGTGGGGAGGGCGTAGGGTGCTTTGGGGTCTTCCTCGTTGGTGGTAGCGCCTGTGGGGTGTTAGTTTGGTGTGCAGATGGAAGAGGGATGGTGAGGGGAAAGTACCTTCAGAAAGTCGACTAGACAGTGGAACAGACCCCGTGAGGAGGACAGTCAGGATACCCAGGGCGATGAGCGAGAGACCCAGGGTGCGGGAGAAGTAGACTTCAAGAGCTGATCATCCTCGTTAGCACATCATCGTATGGCATGTTTCCCGGCCTTTCGTGTATACGTACTGGAAGCTTCGCGGACTTCGGGTGACAACAATGCTACTATCATTGTGGGGGACGCGATCAGAGGCGCGGCTTGGGTCGCTGTGTTTGTATTAGCAAGCTGCACGGTGTCCTCGTGGAAGGATATAGAGCTTACCCAGCCATGCGGCAGTGCCGTAGGAGTAGAAGTAGTAGACCTAATCCTCATCATCAGCATTCGTCCATTACGCAAACACCCCCGGCCATCAACCGTCCCTACAACAACTCCACACTTACATCCATATTGAAAGAGGTCTCGTGATGTCAATTGAGGTATTTCGTTCGTTTCTCGATGCGTTATAGAGAGGAGTTGCAGGCAAAAATGTTGTTTCGTGAAAGGACTGAGAGGAAGGGTTGAGACGTGGGTCGCGGTGATGCAATAGCGATGTTCCTGGCGGGATTTGCGCAAGCATCCGCGCAGTCGCTACGTCATTGCTAGGCTAACATGGATACCGCGGCACATGGCGACACGCTTGTTTGGGAAATCGGGTTTACTTGTTTCCCATGCGTGTTACTGCTTTCGTGGCATCGGGACTGCTTTCGTGGCATCGAAGAAAGTCGTCATGTCCTATTGGTGATGTTTGGGTAGGGCGGGTGAGGTTGTGTACGAGTGCGATGGCGTTCGAGGCTGAACACCTGGATGTATGTATGGAAGATGTGGCATGCAGTTGTCACTCCGCATCTCCATGTTCTTTAGCGAAATCTACCTAGCTGTCCAGCTATGTTGCTGCGACGGTGGACGCGTAGCTACCTTCGCTTCCCAATGGCTCGCAACACCACGAGGCTCGCGCATCGTGCTTCGGCACCCCACGGAACACAGCCCTGGAGTCATCAAGCAGCTGCATCATCTTGAGTAACAACCTTGGAAGCACACGCCGATAATTCGTGCGCGAGGCGACCATCATATACGCCTTCAGGGCTTGACTCCATCTCCGGTAGTAAACCTCGTATCGCTCAATCTAACAACTACCGCACATACAGCTCCCAGAGTCAGCGCCTCCCGCACACTTCCCAAACGGGAAAGCCCTCCATAAACCATCGATTCCTGTCAACGGCTGCCAGACTCCGGCCCGTGGTACCCTCTCCCCGCCCATCCAACGGTCAAAATCTACCGCAAGAGGCAAGGAAACAAGAAAACCATCGATGATAGTAGATCCCGCTATCGGGAAAAGATCCACGAACCAGAAGAAGACAGCCTTGGATCGAACAGCCGGGTCTGGAAGCAAGAGAGTCTGGTTAAGGGGTTGGAGGAGTTTGGTAGCGAGGCAGTCATAGATGCCGAGATGGGAAAGAATGAAGGAAGCTTGGAAAGGTGTGGATGACGGCGGGCGACTGGACACGTCGCCGAAAAAGCAAAAGAGGTCGAGAGCTGACCTCGGGAGTCTGGGTCGAAGATGTCACGCGACGTACATGAATGTTGAACTGCGAAGTGAGACGTATCTTGACGGAGAGCAATGCGTCCAACGCATACGACGCCTTTGTTGCAAATGGGCACGATGGACTAGCAAAACCCGAGTCGCGCATCCATGTCCAGGGCGTTCCAGCATACAGAACACGCAGATGATGGACACAGCGCATCCCGCATTCTGTTCTACTTCCAAAGACCTCCGCCTCCCTCCCATCCCGCGCAAACACTCCGAACCTTGGACCCATCTCCTAATCCCAAATACCTCACTCCCCACGCCCCCTACCAAACAACCAAACTACCGAAACAGGAAATTCCCCATCCCCATAGATTCCAGAAGGCTTGAGGAGAATTACTCGCCTATGCACTAAGTAAGACAAGGCTGAAGACTGTTCCAGACGTTGCAAGTACCATCAAACTTACTCCGACACAAAACAACCCCGATTAGGCAATACGACAATTCAACTGTGGAATGCAGTTCAGGCGTCCCACCTGCTAGAGTTTGGGGCTTGCAAACATATAAATTTGT